AATGTACCTTTTCCTTTGGTATTTTTGTAGTTGGTGCAAATACCTGTTTTTGTTTCCATTCATATTCTGAAAAATATGAATAGTGTGTTCCACAATTACTCATTAACTGATGTTTGGTAAGTGTGAAAATTTGGAGAGTTTAGAGTTAGAAACAGCAAGTTGCTTGGAAAGAAAATTTCTTACAACTCAGCAAATCAATTTAATGTTAACATGGGTCACTATATATGCATGCGTGTGTGTGTGTGTGTGTGTGTGTGTGTGTGTGTGTGTACTGTATTATAGCTCAGTAGGAGACTTAGCAAAGACACTTGGTGGCACAGTACTGAAGTGTTTGGCCGGCCGCTAACCTGAAAGTTGATGGTTCAAAACCACGAGCCATTCTGAGGGAGAAAGAAGGAGCACTCTGTTTCCATAAAGATTACAGCCTTGCAACTCCTGTGGGGCAATTCTACTCTGTCCTCTAAGGTCATTGTGAATTAGAATCGGCTTGATGGCCATGAGGTTACTTTAGGAGATTCAGAAGAGTTAAAAGAAGTCATTTTAGTCCCAGAACCTAAAGTTCTGCTTCAAAACTTCAGGTGGGTTTAGATTTCCTGAGACCTTGCTCTTTGAATTTCGTTGTATGAGAGACCGGATGCTTTGTTGTTCACGTGGGAACGAAGCACTAGATTCCCTCCAGGCTTACCTGATTCTGAAATGATTCTGTGTCAGCCTACCAGCAACATCCTGAAAAATGCATGCGATTTCATTTCCCTCTCAGTCTTCTCTCGATGGAAACAGACATGTTTCAAGTACTAGACTCTACTCTCTGGTTTTAATTAAGAGTCTCATGATAGGCAGTTGCTCGTCATACCCAATCAAGTAGGAGGAGGATATGCCAATGATGTTGCAGTACATGCTAAATTCCTTAAAGTGTTAGAGACAGTTTAAAAAAAAAAAGGATAGAAACAGATGCTTCTCATTAAGATGACTAGAAATGGCAGACTTCACAACAAATAAGTGCACAGGGCATTCAACACATGTTAAAAGATCTCATGCAGCACATTTCCTTATAACCGTTTTGGAACCTACTCGTTTTGGTAGGCTATGGCATCTACATGTATTTTTATCCCTCTAGATTTTTCATTCAGGGGAATATGATTATAGACAATTTTCTTTTTGTTCCTTCTCATTCAGAAACATGCATATTTATAAATTTCTTAATGCCTATGAGGAATGAGTCAATAGCTGTCTATTTCAGGTGGCCCTGAAAAGCTGAGTATTTATGGAATAAATATCCTACTATCGCCACCCCACCTCTTGGTTAAATTATATAATAAAGCAAATGCCGAAAGCCAGCTAGAATTTGTAGATTCACTGACAATGTTTTTCCTCTCAGATGTTGATGAAATTAGCAGTTTCTTTTGGGATATAATTACCTACATTAAAAAAAAAATCAATGTTACTTTTGCGAAAAATGTTTTGGGAAGCTCCAATTTTGATGAAAGAAAGGCCTTGTGGAAAAATAATCCAAAGGAAAAGGAACTCACTTCAGAATTCTGGGCAAGAAATAAACATGTTCCATGCACGCCAAGCTATTATTTTTTTTGTCCTTTGTAGTCCTAATCAATAGCATTCACTACCTGAGGGCCATGACATAATTTTGTATTTTGACATTGGTTCTGCACATTTATACACCAGCCAGAGGCCTATGGAGTGATCACAGCACATAGTGTTGTTTTGTGTTTTCTTGTTTTTGATAAAACAAATGGACAGAAGAACTGGAGTTTGCAGGTAGAGAGGAGTGTTTTGTCTGATTACAGCGAGTCCAGGGTTTGTCAACTCGAGCCGCCCCAGGGAGGTCTTCTACAGGTGCTTACATTTAGGGGATTTGGACACCCGAGACTCGTTCAAAGACCCCATTACTTGGCAGTCAGATCAGTTAGGAGCCAGAGGGATCAGCTTAGAATATATGTCCCAAAAGATGTCATTAGGTCCTTCTCATCATCTGTCGACTGAGCTATTTTTTGTGAGGACCTGGCTTCAAAGAAGCCACGGATAATTTTAACAGGAGTGAAAGCATAGCCTGATGGGTCATACAGGTCAAGGTGGAAAAAAGCGTCCTAACTTTGCATGGTTGCATTGGTTTGAAAACTCCAATGCCCAGGGCTTCCACAACCATTTCCTACATGTGAGACGGGCATCTTTTCAGTGCTGTGTTGTGGAAGATCATAGCTTTAATTCCTTTCTGGTGGGGAGTCAAAGGTTTTCTTTGAAGTATACATGCTACTTGAAAGTCAGGAGACTCACACCGCAAATGGTTCATAAAAATCAGAATGCAAGATCAGATAATTACGGTAGAGAATAGCTTCATGACCCTTTGCTCATGATTTGTAATGTGCCGTGGTCAGTATCTTTGCCTGTGTCAATGGGAGCTCATTAACTGTAAATTTTGCAGACTAACCGAGCCATGCCATGTTAGTGCTTGCCAAAGCTTGACATTTTTAATACATTAATAATATGTCTGTAATGTAATGGAAAACTATTAATCACAACTGGTTATGTGCCAGAAATTTAAGCTATAATTGGCCGCTTCTTGTCAGGAATGTCTGTCGTACAATCTTGCCTGTGCCTAATATTCAAATATCTTGCACTCCTCTGCATTTTTCCTTGTCAGTTCTCTAAATTCGATCAATATTGCAGTCCACAATTCTATGTAATGACCATCATTATCATCCAGGTATACCTGAGTGAGAATTCGTTATCTTGGGATTGCTGTGGTGTCAGGAGACACTAACAGGTTCCCAGACTTTGGCTCAATGTCCAGCTTGTTCATGTAGAAACATGTGGTCACTTGTTCTTTTGTGGTTGCCCTGAGGCCCAAGCGCACAAGGACAAAGTAACCAAGGATAAATGGATGAGGGAGATGCTATCTATTCTATTAAGAGCAAACAAGCCAACAACAAAAATAGACACCTGACTGATGTCAGGGAGCATGCAAATATACTTCAATGGATATCAACCAATAATATAAATAATTCATGCGTTATGCTTACTCAGTTCAAACTTAAATCAGTCCACTCCAGGTCTTCAAGATTGCAATTATTTTTGGAAAAGAAGTAGCTGTTTATTTGAAGCTAATAATTAATAATTTCTGGTCTAGAATTTCCACTGTCTACCCCCTTCCCCCCCCACAGTGTATTTGCTATAATAAAATAGTAAGTTCATTTGAAAATCACATGTTGCAAGTGTAAATTTGTATTATTTTTAAACCCTTTTTCAGATGATTAATGACATCAAGTTGTTGGATATTTCTGAAAATATCAACTTAAAATTACTAATGAAACAGAAAAAATGAAAACAAAACAAAGTAACTCAGAAAGCTGTAATAGCCAAAACATATGCTTCTCTGAGGTTTCCTCCCCCCATCTTAAGATTTCAAAATGTGTTCAGTATAGTATATTCTTTATGTTACAAGAAAGAAGCAGATTCAAATCTGTAGTTTATAAATGATTAGACAAACTACTAATTATTGCTTCATAGGAACTCAAATATTCAACACTTTTCCTAATAGAAAATATCACAAATTGCAGCTGTATGATAACATTTTATGAATTGAATATAATGAAAATTGCACTTGCATCCATAAAGCAATTATTATAAATTAGTTTGCTATGGAAACACAATTCAACCATCTGTTGGCATTTCATAGTCTGTGGCTTAGTTCATTTTAAGATGGTGCATTATTTAAATATAGTGAATTTCTTTTCTAAGGGTGTTTGAAGATGGTGAACTCCCATATTTTACCTGGTTAAAATGAATGGGAGAGCTTAGAATGGAATTTTCCACCCCTGCAGGCTTTTTCCCACCCTTCTGAGTTGTTCAAGAAATCGTTCCTTCGGGGGACTTTGACTATGAGCACACTAACCGCGCAGATCCACTTTGTGAACACCTGCAATGCAAATACGAGTGTTTGCCCAGTTTGGGTCTTCCTCTCAAAGGAAGCCAAGGTGCCCGTTCAACTCGCCAGCAGTCTCTTCCACGCCTAGTTGTGCAGGCTTCATTCTAAGGTGACCAAAAGTACTTTTAAACAGTAATTTTCATTTTCCCTTAGAATTAGTGCCATGTTATTTTACTTCATGGCCTGTTAACTCACCCTCAGCTATTTTTATATGTGCATTTTAAATTGTGCGTTTTACTACAGAGCTTTTAGTTTTAAAGCAGCATATAATATTCGCCTTTGGGACAAATTCTCTTCTGTTACCGAAAGTAACTGCAAATGCAGATGTAATGGCTATACAAAGAGGCAAGGAAACAGAAAATTCTTATGAAAGGAAAATTTGCTCCTTTGGTTTTATTTTTGAATGTTTTTTTCCCCTTTCTTTCCAGAGAGCCAAGTTATCTTTATCACTAAATACAACTAAACAAAAGAGGATGAATTTTTACAATATAATGAGCCAACCCCAAAGATAGGCTCATGCCAACAATGCCGGTTTTCACACCAGCTAACAAAAGCTAAGAAATACACAAGGCATTTAGAGATGTTAGGGTCTCTTTGCCAAGAGACAAAAGGCACGCAAGCAGTTGTCATTTCTTTGTCATTGTAAAGAAAAGCGCTCAGTTCCCACATTGTTCTCCTGGAAGATTTTCCAGCACCTCGATAGTGATATTGGAGACATATGTAGATCTAGCCACTTGCTGTCAGTTAAGTCAAGATGGAAATAACAGTTATTGACAGAAAAACCCGTCATTCACTGGAAACACTCACATCTGTCTCGGGTATGGATGGGTTAAGTCCCTGCCTTTGGAATTCTCCCCAATGTGAAGGTTGTCTGTGGTCTGCTGCGTCTAGAGAAAGACACAGGGAAAGTCTATCCGCATCACACCACTTGGGTTTATATGACGTCGCACCTCCCAAAAAGTCAACCTGTTATAGATTTGGGAATGCTTTGACTCTGGGACAATAACTCTTGCTCTTATTGTTTTTAAAAGGGTGCTGGTGCCAGAGGAGAAGGACTCCTGGGAAACGGACACCGCTGTCACCTCTCATCCTTCTGCTCCAGAGACCAATGATCTCAGTGCACCCGAGCTTCTCTCCTGAGCCGTGAACATCGAGGGTCACTTGGCTGTCGGATGTACCACGGAAGACCCAGTGCTTGGCTACATTCTTATCTGGACACCTTGTACAACAACCCCACCAGACTTGAATCCCATAGACATGCTTGAGGACACATCAGAAGCTGCAAGTTGTTAATGCCTACCACAAAAGTATGGTAGGCTTCCACCAAAGTCCTCCATTTCCCAGAACGTGCACGATATTTTAACCTCCCACCTTTGTGCTTGGTGTGTGGCTTGAAGTCTAGGCCGCACACTCTCTTTCTTTCGAATATACAGACCTACCTACCTGTAGACATATATGTATACGTACATATAAAACGGACCCAGGTCACAGGACGGCAAACGGCTCTAGCTACCACGACGATTGCAAAGGATTTAGAGATGTATTTGTCAAGATTCCTGTCAATTCATGCCCTCTGGGTTACGGTGTCCTCGGTGATGCAGCCCTTCCCGTTGGTGTGGGGACATTATGACGTGTGTAAGACTCAGATTTACACAGATGAAGGGAAAGTTTGGGATTACATGGCCTGTCAGCCGGAATCCATGGACATGACCAAATATCTGAAAGTGAAATTGGACCCTCCGGATATTACCTGTGGAGACCCTCCTGAGACATTCTGTGCAATGGTGAGGCAACCCTTCCGAATAGAGTATGTCATATTAAAGGGGGGCAAGTTGAATGTACATGCAAGTGGGGTGAGGGTGAAGACTCAATTCACACAATGAGCTGCCTCTTCAGGTTGCAGATCTTGATTCCCAGGCACGCTACATGCTCAATGCAGGCTGGCAGTACTTGGAATTACGATGTGCCCAGAGGGATGGATGCCCTGGGACTTCCTTTCTGCTGGTCTGCAAACCAAAGGTTTACCGTAGCAGGTGCACTGTAATCCAACTGAAGGTTAAGCTTCAGAGTGGAGACTGAGAGTACCCTTAGGTCATATGTGTTGTGTTACAGATACAATCCGTTGGGAAGATCTGCGAGGTGTTCTGCACACAACCAAGGAAGGCCAGCCTGATGTTAGGGCTAGACTAGATCTCCTGCTTTTCCTCCTCAGGAGGCTGTTGGGACTGAGTGGGAGACCAGTGCAAAGAGAAGTGGGGGACAGAGGAACCAAAAGTCTGCAAGAGGCTTTTTTAGAAAAGCCTTTATTTGCCAGCTCATGCATTTTAAATTTTTTAAAAAGAATTTTTCAAGGGTACTCCTTTTGGTATGTATGGGTATTTAAAATACCAACATTGAAATGCTGAAACCTTTTTGCTGACTGGGGGCATATACATTCTGATACTATTATGTGGATGAGAGTAGTTACAGAATTCACGGGTCTCTTCTTGCATATACTAAGTGGGAACACAAAGTTGGACTGGTGATTCACTAGGGGCAGAGCTGAACCTACATCCAAACTATCAGTGCGGAGCATGGCGATTCAAATGAGGTGCTGAAAGGGGCAGAACCCGTGTGCATTTGGTTTGTGGCAGCGTCCTTTATTGTAGGTGGTCTTTATTTGATTCAAGAACTGTGACCCCATTTTTCTTCACCTACAGACATAATTGTATGGCAGATTTTAATAGTTTTCTTACCTGACTTTATTATCTTGAACCTGGCCTGGCATTTTCAGGATAGTGAAACTATTAATCAAAGTAGCATCTGTTCACACAGTCCCCAGTGAGTGAAATTAGCATAAGATGTTCTGAGACCTAGTCTTATAGGAAAGGTTTTGTAACAGGAAACAATTTCGAGCAATAAAGAGTGTGTGCACCTAAAAGCTAAGGGCTTGCCATTTTTCAGAAGTGCCTTTGGGGACTGGTTTGAGTTATGGTCTAAGCCTGATTTTGTGGAGAGTGAGGAAGAGAGCGTGGCTATTAGGTGTCACTATGACGGAAGTGCACGGAAAGACTAAATATTTCAGCGAGAGGCCCCGTCTCTCTGGGAAACAGGTATGTGCTTTGCAAAGCAGCGGCACTTGAGAGCCTCGAGATTTCCAGAGAAGGAGCTTATTCAAACTCATTATACATACCCATTGCCGGGGAGCGGGTTCCCACTCGTGGCTACGTCGGCAATGCTGTTATAAGTCTGTAGAAGAGCAGATGCTGCCTTTACAAAAGGCCTTTCGTAATTTCTCATAAAAGGTCAACTTTAGTGCTTCCCTGTGAATCTGGGGTGAAATTTACCAGACGGGCGATAGGCTGTACAATTTCCCACTTAGAGCAGAGGAGGAATTTCGGGGAAAGCACTTGGTAGATAAAGAATACTCCAGCCCTATGGATGGGTCTGCAGGACACTTTTAACAATACGGCTCTCTGGTTCGGTGGAATTCACAGATCTACATAAAGTGGCAAATATCCTCTTTTCAGGAGGCCATTTTCACTGGAATCGGCCCCGCCTGCTGGGTCCTCTGTGTGTGATTTCCATGCGCACGCAGTTCCCCTGGGCTCAGCCTTTGGCAGGAGAATGCTTGCTCAGCACTGCTCCTGTCCAGCATGTTGAGGGTTTACCTGGAGTTTGCACCAGTCCTCAGGCTCTCCCTACCAGTAGGAAGGAGCTTCGTGGCCTGCCCTTCTCGGTGGCAGGTCTGAGGTCCTTAAAGAAGTCCACTCTTCCCACATTAATGGCTAGGTGTTAGAGACCGGAAGAGGAAGATTTAAAACAGTATGCCTCAGCTTCCTGACATGCAGAACCATGTAAACTTGCCGCGTTTGTACGAACCCCTAAGGATCACCTTTCGGAAGATTGCATCTCAGTCTGATTCAGGTCGCCAGGGCCTTCCGTGCCTCTGAACCGGTCACTGAGCAGGCACCCATTCCAGAGGATCATGCACGGTTTGTGCGACGATTACTTATCACTGTTTAATTTGTACTTCTTAATAGGCACTTGATTGGCAGAACTGATTTAATATTCTTTCCTTCAAATGCACACGTCGGGGCTACTTGTGTATGGATCCTATCCAAGCCGATCACAATGACCTCATATAGCAGCACAGTTGTGGGTTTTCATTAAACTCGTTAGCACCAGGGTTTCTGACACCAGGCTGTAAAGCTGTCTCAAAATGCTGTCATATCAGACCTGTTTAGGTGCGCCTTAGCCAAGGTCTCAGGGGAATCCATAAAGTCATTTGTGTTATGACTTCTCCGCTCTCCCCTCCTCGACACTGGTGTCAAGACCAGCTCCCTCAGAGTCGTTAGGGCCTATTACATCAGGGTGGCTGCCAAGTAGGCATCCTCACTACTTCGCCCCTGTATGTAAATGTTTGCTGCAAAACGCTTTCGGTCATCATCTGCTCAGCTAGTGACACCCTGATTAGCTGAGACGATGGTGCTTTTGAGCAGCAAGCAGCCATGTGGTCAGAGCAATGCCCCGTACACCCCACAGCCGTTTGATTTAACGCACAGCCGAAGGCCACTGGCGAGGCCTCCGCAGCCGGTTTTGCTACTTTCTGCACTCGCTGCCATCGCTGGAGGCCAGCGGCTCTCCACTAACGCTACGGCCTTTCACGCAGGGCGACATCATGGAGAAGAGTAGCACATGCACCAGCCGTAGATTCCACTTACTCATAGATCTCTGCTTATTAACCTGCTCGCCCTGGTGCATCAATCTTTAATGTCAAGTGATTGTAAAAGGTCCCGTATTAATTGTGCCAGCATTATAAACAGTTGTCTGGGAGCACGCTGCCATTTCTACTTGCAGCAGTGGCATGAGGTCACACGCACACGCACACATACTTTCTGATATGTGTGTACCCGTGTCTGAATTCCATGTACTCAGAGCTGAGCATCTTCTTTGTCATTGACTGTGTTTCCTTACATTGTTCGACCGCCAACAAGGAAACCTGTTTTGTTAAAAAGACCCGGCAGAAGGGCAGATTGGGCATGACTTGTTTTCCCCAATGCTGGGTGAACATGTTAGCATAGATCTCATCCTTCATTCGTCCATGTGAAAGCCTCCAGGTAGCACAGCTTGTCAGAAAACATAGATCAGCTGGTGCCTGCAACTTGTTACGATTTGCATGAAGCACAGATCGCAGCATCTGAACCCTGGCATACAGCTGAAGTGACAACACAAGGCTGTGACTTGTTCTTTGTGTTTAGACAAAGTTGGCTGTCATCTCACCACACAAAAACCCAGTGGCTTAAAGATGGTCAAATTATCTGCAGTCCTCTCCGGGCTGCAGCTCATTGTGTGGGTATGTTCAACGGAGACTTTGAAGAGAACCCTGCAGACGGAAGAAGTCATGTGCGTCTGAACAATTTGTGGAGCTAAAGTGCTGATGACGGTAGAAATGGGAGCCCTTGAGTGCTGCGATGGATTTCAGAGCCAATCAAAACTAAATTAGGAAACAAAGATTATTAAAAAGTCTTCTGTGCATGTAATTTTGGCATAATATTATGAGGTGGACATTAAATGTTTCCCTCGGAGACTTTCGGCATCATTAATGCAGCATGCCTTTAATTACAAGTAGACTCATATTGCTAAAAACATGGAGAAAATAAAGGGCTCTGTAGTGTAGTTAGCAATACCCTCATTATGTTTACTGAAATAATTAAAAGATAGGGTGTAATTTTTCTAAATAAAATGTCAGAATCTGAAATGAAAATGGATTTTCTTTAGGAAATGTACTAATGTGTGCCTGTGCTGCTGATAGGCATTTATTCAAGTACTGTAACAGGTCTATTAATGATCATTCCATATTGTGTTATTTCTAGATCGACTTCTATTAAGGGGGTGAAAAAACCCCACAGCACTATAATTATTGTGAATACTGAGAGTTAAAACAAATTTCACGTTGTTCAAATGGAATTTGCTAAAGTAGCTAGTGGAAGGCACTGGTGGTTTGTGATTTTACAGGACCCCAGGGGGACAGTGGGGCTCGAGGCCGAGCCTCGGGGCTGTCCACCCCCAACATTTCTGCTCCCACTTGGGCTCACATGGCCATCTGGTGGCTCTCAGATGGTCTTTGAGAAATTAATTTTTATAATAAATTCAGTTACATTTTCCATGACTAAGAATTGACATCCGTTTTCCCAAAACTGGAAATGACATCGATGGATATAGGAATCGAAGTCGTAAAAACCCTTTACATTCACGTGAGCCTCACTTAATTCAATGGATGAAGAAAGTTTTAATAACAGTGACATCTTTCATTTGCACTGATTGATCTCTTAATTATGCCAGAATGGAATTAAAAAGCAAAACCTCAAACAAACAAACAAAATAAATACCTCCTTCAGTTCCATCATTAATACTTGATTGTTATTAATTCATTATTTAGACTTATTCCTTAGAAAATTTTGATTCATGTTGGTAATGAATTAAGTTCCAAGGAGAAGCGTCTTTTTGACAGTCTCTTCTTATTACATATTGCATCAAACCTAAACTCCTTCACCTGAATTCTAAACCTGGGTATATACAACCTTATCTCCTACCCTTTTCCTTAAGGATCTGCTGGCACTTCTGTCAGGGTTAAGGTTGACGCTCTGATTCGCAGTAGTCTGCTGGGCTTGGGTTGGAGTTTCCTTGGCATAATGTGTGTGGTTGACGGGGAAGAACAGGGGAGGGATCTAGTGAAGGTTATGCTGGGGATAACCATGCCTGAAATTCCCTTGTGCCCTTGTTTCCACTGTTGCCCGTGTGC